AGGTCCCTTCCGACCCTAGAAACTATGAAACTATAAGATTCTTTCTGAAGATCACCAGGGTGGATGCGTTCACTTTGGGTCTTAAAGCCCACGTAGAGCAACCCAAGATGAAGGATGTCCCATTGACCGCTCTACAGCTGGCTCTAGTGAGTCTTGTTAGGCTATCCCTTTCAGGACTAGAAATTGCTTTCTGATAGAGGCCTCAAAATTCACAAGTTACCCTCCATCTTTCCCTGCCTCCCTAGCACTCTCCTGTAGCAAAAAGGGTCTGAATGCAGCCAAACAGGTTGCTAGCAAGTGAACCGAGGCGTTCCTTACCTCCGGCGCGCTGCGGACTGGCTCTGAAATGTTTCCACCCCTTGCACAGAGCACAGCGGGTAATAGGAGCCAGCTTCAGTGCAGCATCTCTCTGTCTCTTGTCGATGTATTTCTTTCACGCATCCATCGGTACAGCGCAGCCACATGGATCTTTGCTCCCTTGCGCCGCACCATGCTGAGCTCTCCCTGCACAGCTGGGCCAGTTGCTTCTAATCATTCATTTTTAAAAGAAGGATGCTGTTGGGTAATTATCACAAAGGGACACTGAAAGGGAATTTGAAGAAACTTGGCAGATAACAAGTCACCACTATAGACATTAGAATGCTGTTCCCATAAACAACCAAACCTGCAGGCCATGCTGTCTCCCTGCACCTGCTTTCCTCCAGCTTCATTAGGACATGATGTGTCTTTGCATCGTGCAACCCTTTCTTTACCTCCTAGTTCTTGGGTAGATTGGTGGTACAACCCGACTATTCTTTTTCAAGCTTTGAGCAGTGTGTGAAAGATGTGAATGCCTTGCATCTTTTCCATGGTTTTTATCTACCCTAGCTGCATTTTTCTAGGCACCCTCCAGACGCATGCAATTTCTTACTTGCCAATATTTTGGGGGTATCAGCAGTTATTCTATGTCAGTCTCGTTCCCCTAGCCTTTACCTAAGGCCTACGATTTCCGCTGAATTTCAAGACTCCTTTTTCCAAGCCGAATGGGAAAATACAAGTGAAGAAAAAAAACCCAAAAGGAGTGGCGTGTTCAGAATCGCCAAATAAACAGCATCTCCTACCAGCTCATGCAAGAGCTGTGAAAAAACATTTTGAGGTTTGCCTTATTTTATTTGGATTTTGATCACCTGGGTTTATACACCCCGGATTCTTGCTTTGAGTTTGGGGTTTGAGCAAACTCGGGAGTCAAACATTGCCAAAACCACAAACTTCCATCCGGTTTCACACGGAGACCATGAGAGATCACACCTGTAGCTTGGTTGCAGAACAAGCCTGTAAATCAGTGCAGATTTGCTTTGGAAGGCTTGTGAGCCTCACTGAACCTGCCAGCAAACCTGAACTGAGTTGACGTGTGTAGTGAAACTCAAAGCAAAGGGAATCGGATTTTGCATGTTTCTCACTGAGGCTAACCTTCGGTCCTTCCTTCAGCCCTTAAGCTTGGGTTTCGGTGCCAGTGCCTGAGTGGTCTAATGTGATACAAAATGATACGAAAGCGTTTCCATGCCATATGAAAAATGGTAATTAATTTCTGCTTTTATTGATGTGTAGAATTTCCAGTGCAACGAAGCTATGTTCGAGGCCGTGGAGCAGCAGGACTTGGATGCCGTTCAGATTGTCCTCTATCAATACACCCCAGAGGAGCTGGATCTAAACACACCAAATAGTGAGGGTTTAACACCCTTGGACATTGCCATCCTAACAAACAACGTGCCCATCGCGAAGATCCTTCTGAGGATTGGAGCAAAGGAGAGTCCGCACTGTAAGTAAAGAAGAATTACAAATTGCATTGTGTCCCGCTTGGGGAAGTTTAATTAAATTGCCTATAAACTTTGACTGATTTCATTTTAATCTGGACACAACCAGCTATGTCACCGTGACAACAGTTGCAGGGCTATTTGTTTGCTGAGCACAAGCTCAGGAGATGTTATCTACTGGTACTAAAAGGCGCTAGAGATGCAGTATTTAAGACATCCAAGCTGTGCGTTGCAGAGGAGAAACCTGCTGGAGAGTAATGGGATATTGCGGTACGGGTCTCAGCAATGCACACACCCAGTCACTCGCTCTGTTTCACATACGGTTGAAAGAGTGAAACACTGGAACCACGCTGAAACCATGAAAAGCTTGTAGCCAGAAAAAATGTTGTTAAAATAGTGTTCTGTTGGAAAACTATCTTTTTGACAAAACTGAACTGTTTTCCAGAATTTTTACTGGCTTTTACACATTTTTTTGTTTTGGAAAAATGACTAAAACGTCAAAGCTTCTCATCTTGTCATTTCTGAAGTTAAAGGCTTTGCTTTGTCCTTTCAAAACTTAATTTTATGGCCAAATTGGAAAGGGTCAAAATGAAATGAAACATTTTGAAGGTATGTAAACAGACCGTTTTGCTTGACCCAGACAGTTTTTTGGAAATTGTTTCACTAGAAATTCTGAAATATTGGTTGTTCTTTCTGGTTCAGGCCAAAACCAAAAGCTTTTTTTTTTTTTTTCCTTTTTATCCAACAAATTTTGCAGAACAGGAAATTAATTCTCTAATTCTAGCTTCCCACTGGGTTCTACCCAGAGGTAAGCCGATGTCCTGTCACCAGCAGTGGCAAGTAGCACATGCTTTAAAGGAAGAATATAAGAAACAGGGTAGAGTGATCCTTTATCAAACCCTCCCTATTATCGGTAGATTATATCCCTGACTGTTATGTCCCGGATACCGATTCTGTGTTGTGTGTGTTTATTCTGAAGTGACTACCTGATCATTTTGTTGTGTCCCTTACTGCTTTATATTCATATCTATATAAATATCCGTTTCCACACCATTCGTGATTTTATAAAGGGCAGATTCTCCCTCTTCAACCATCTCGCTTTCAGGGGAAGAGTCCCAGTCTTTTTTATTTCATTTCATAACTCTGATTATCTTTGCTGCCCTTCTCTGTGCCTTTCCTAGTACTAGTCTATGTATCCTTTTTGGGAATGGGAGATCAGCACTCCATAGTATTTTGGGGCGCTTGTACACGTGATGGGGGTTTAGTCCTTCAGGATTGCATTCTGTGCCCCCTATATTGAAATGCTGAATTTTTAATTGAGAAAGGAGGGTTTCATTTTTCCGTCACTGTATACATGTCATTGTCCTGGTGGCCGCAGGTGCCTGCTGAAGGCAGAAGCGGTGAGGGGCCTGAGCCTTTTTTTCTGCAGAGCCTATCTGCCCCTCCCACTGCTCGGGGGCAAGCTGATAGATTAATGACTGCAGTGTTCCAAGTTGCAGCATTGCAAACTAAACTACGTTGGGATGTGGCTTAGTTTGTGACCACACAAACTCATTTAAAACCCCCAAAACTTGCGTATGTGTGAAGTGTGACTCCATTAAGTCACACAAAGGGAAAGTTTTGTCACGTGTGCATGGTAACATCGTGATGTGTACAAGCGCTCCTAGACGTGGGTGCACTGTGGATTAAGTAACAGCAGGGTGGTTGGGTCCATGCAGTGCAAGAGAAAGGTAGTTTGCTCTGTCACTAAGCAGTGCTACTCAGTGCAGCCTCGTTGCCTTGCAGGGGTGATCATGCTTCTTATGGAGCAATGCAGCATGTAGCAAGGATGGTGCTAACTGGCATGCAAAGTCTGTGGTCTAGAAGTGGCCTAGCATGTTTAGCTCAGGTGTAGCAACAATAGAAATCTTTCAAAAATATGTAGTTAGGGACCAAGCCAATAATACAGAGATGGTGTGGAGTTCATGATAAAGGAATAAATGACAATGGATTACTATGTGTATGGAATAATTGGAAAAGCAAAGACTCTGCTCCAAGAAAAGGGGTCTCAAGGATGTAGCAAGGTGTGTTTAAGCATATTGCTTCTAATAACTCGGGCATTAACTCCCATTAAAACAAGACTTCTGAAATTTTAAGGCCCAGTGGAGTTTTCCCATTGACCTTCACACATTTATATAAATCAAGACCATACTGAATGAAAGCATAGTGATAAAAGGCTGCAGCAAAGAACTGGTAGCATGGCTTCAGTAAAGTTTCATTACCTACTACCAATGAAATCCCTGCATGAAATACACCTCCGCACAGCACTGGAACACCAATGGCACTTATTGTGGTTATAAAACTCTCCTTTGTCTTCCTTCATGGGACCTTTTTTATGCATAATTTAAAAGTGAAGGGTGGGGGGAGACTTACCAACTCAATTAATCAACCTTAAACCATGACACAAACTCTGACGCCTTACTTGTGGCTAAAAATACACAAATGTATACGAATTTGTTTTAAACTGTCAATGCCTATATTTAGGACATTCCCAGCAAGGCTATAACGAGACTGTGTTGGAGGGGCTCAGCCACTGCAGACTCTGTGCCATTAATTTGAAGTTAGTTAAATTAACAGCATTTAGTCCTGGCATGTCAATCTTGGTGCTGCAGGAAATTGCACCTTGAGGCTACTAGCATTGCCAATTTTTTTCACTGGAGAGTGTGTGAACGTGTGCATGAGTGCATGTATGTGTGTGTGTCTGTGTGCGTGTGTTGATGTGTATTGAGCTGTTTGCCAGCCCCTCCGTGCTGGTACACCTTTATTGCTTTTCTGTGTCCACAGCACTTACATTATCATTTATTCTGGCCTCTTTTAAACTTCCCAGGAGATTTTTGCATAGTGTAGCTGCTCAGTGAAAAGAGTTTTTTAGCTTTATATTTATTTGTTTATTTTTCTGTCATGGTTCATGACTGAGGCTTTAAAAAAAAGTGAGACAGCATTTAGAGTACATGATTGACTGTTGAAGCAACATTCATTAACCATGACAAATCTCGAGGAAAACACAGTCTTGAGTGTTCTAAACAGCAGTAAAAAAGACTAAACTAATTTTTCATTGACCTCATCTGTAAATAAATGCAGTCTGATGGTGAGCAGGGGCAATCATAAATTAGTATTCATTTCCTGTAATTAATGCAAACATGCCTATGAACACAGAGAATATGAATATATAACCACCTCATTTCCATTTCAAAATATACCTACCAAATTTCCACTTCACTTATCTTGATTTTTAGTTTTCTGATTTGCAATAATGGATAAGCCTTGCTCAATCAAAATCAAATTATTAGGGTTTTTTTGTCCTCAAGGGTCTCAAGGCACCACTTGGAACCAAGCAGCGAAGCAGTCATCCCTCAGAACAGCGGTTTTCAACACCTCTGTATTTGTCTCCATTGTTCAGGGCAGGCAGCAGTCGCTTCCTATTTTCTCCTGTTCTGCCTCATTTCCACACTTCTGTTTGCCTGTGTTCAAGCAACCCTGCTGGAATGAAATCTTGTCCAGCTGCAGGTCATTTGGGCTCCATGGACCTGATCGAGCATTCAATAGAAAGACTCACGTTGACTTCAGTACACGCTGGATCATGGTCTGCACAAGCTGAATACAGACAAAATCCCCACCTCCCCCAGTTCAAAGTCAGGGCACAGGGCTGTAATACTGTCTCATCACCAGTACACAATTGCAAGGTGAGTGGAAGTAACTAAAGACGTATGAACTGGGCTCATCTGTGGCTGCCTCACTGCAATTCTTTCCATCGTAGGTAGGAGGTGTGATGGCTCCTGTCAACCAGGCCATCACCCTTTCCCATCAGTTGATGGTTTCAAGTGTGCATCTGAGAGTCCTGGTTGACCGTGTCTTCCAGAGCCATTCATAGCACTCATAATAAACATTTGTCCGGGATGATTTAAATGGGGAGGATCGTGTCTTGTGCAGGGGGTTGGACTAGTTGACCTCCTGAGTTCCTTTTCTATTGGTCTGGACTCTATAATGAGCCAATTCCTGATGGTCTCCTATGGATTCTTTGCTGGAAACTTGCTCCTGATTGCTAAAGCAAGGGTTGTCTTACTCCTAGACCCATCCCAGCAAAACCAGAAAGACATAGGAAGTAGTTAGGGTGAGGCAACCTTCCTGAGGATCATCTTGCAGAGTTTCTTGTGCCATTTCCTCTGGCAGAAGTTGTGGATTGTATAGGGCACATCCTCTTCCATCCCCCTCAGACCTTCAGCAAAAGGAACAACAAAGATGGCCTGGTTGACAGGAGTCATCACACCTCCTACCTACGATGGAAAGAATTGAAAGGAGACAGCCATCGAAGAGCCCGGTTCATGTGTCTTTAGGAGCAGCCCTCCTAGAAAGGAACCCTACCATGAACTGGGTTCTCTTGTGACTATACAGTACTAGCCAGAAGAGAAGGCTCAGAGGGAGTTAATGCACCTCTCGGATTCATTATTTTCATTGCCACACGAAAATACAAAAGCAGGATATGGGATAAAGCCATGGAGAGCAAAGACTCCCTTTCCCCGTCTCATGTGGAATAACATCTGTGCAGAAACCCTGATATTCTTTTAGGCACTTAAACATGGCAGCCAAGAGTGCAGCTTGCTGAACATTTACATTAAAATATTAAAAGGAAGGCAGACTTCTCTCTACATTCACTGCTGTCATTATGCTAGACAACTGTTTCTCTCTTCAGCTCTCTTCATTTATCCTTGGCTTGGTCATCTAGAACTAAATAAAAATAATATTAATGTTTCCACTGGCTAATTTGACACCTTTCCAATGTCCAACAACTCTGGAGCAGGATCTCAAAGGAAGTGGTAAGTGCATCAGCTGACGTTCTCACCCATAAAATCTTCCTCTGCACACCACGCTTGTCAGGAAGTCTGGTCACCCTGTGGCCTCACAAAAGATAGCTCGTTCTGGAGGTGCCAGCAGGTTCCAGGTAGCATGGCCATCTGTCTCATGTCCATATGAAGAATACTTGAAGAAGCGTGGCTGCACGCCAGGTTTGGAAAGCAAAGCGTAAGAGATGAGCATTCTTCAAAGATCTTTGGGATGTCAGAGGTGTTGAAAAATCCCTTGTTCTCTTCCAGGAGTTGTTAAAAATCCCATGGCATGTTCACATTAGTCTGTAGGGGGTTTTTTGGACTTCTGGCTAAAGTCCACTGTGAGAGAGACTACGTTAAGACTAAAAACGTGCAGGTAATACACATGTGCCAACCACAGTACCTCTGTTGATTTTTATTTTATTTTACTCTGATGCAAAAATGATGCTCACTGCTGAGCTCCTGGATTAACTTTTTGATATAACAGAATATCAATGGATCTATGAAAGGTTTTATTATATCCCATATGGAGTCATTTTTTACCCTTCGGTGTGGTTTTTGTGTCAAAACAGGTCACAGTCTCGGGTCCAAAAGTTGGAAGGTTTTGCCTTCTTAGAAATGTTGTGAGCCATCCTTGACTATAGGTGTACATGGTTCTGGCAACATGTACTGTGGCAAGGTCATTTCAGTTCCTATAAAAGGTGATCCCTATGCACAAAAGATGTTCATGACCCCCAGGCTCCCCTGTACTGACAAGAAGAAAGGACACGATTGGGATCTGATACCACAATTGCACCCTCCTCCAATGGGCACTGGGGATCCATGGCATCTTTAAATGAACGTGTGCCAGGAGCTAAGATGACCCAGCCATCATTAACGTTTCCTTTTTTCCAACAGTTGTTACCACGGAAAGCAGGTTGACGCATTTGAGCACGTTGGTCCAGGAAGCCCAGCAGCGGGTGAACGAACTGTCTGCACAAGTGATGAGTGAAGGGCTTGGAATGGACAGCGCAGAAAAAGAGAAGCAGCTGAAAGCGTGGGAGTGGAGATACCGACTCTACAAGCGAATGAAAGCAGGCTACGAACATGCCAGTAAGTAGCACTGAAGTGGTTATGGGAGTCTGTGGAGTGCTCTTCAAACGGGACTAAGTTGCACTGGCAGAGTGGTTCTCTATGTTCACAAATGCTCCTGATCCTCCTGTGAGACACGTAAGTGTTATAGGTGGGAAAATGAAGGGACAAAAAATGACTGACTTGCCTGAGACTGAAGGGCATTCGAATGGAGAGGCCTGAGTCTCCTGACACTTATGTACAGGGACTTGTATGCTCAGAGCCAACAGGCTGATCAGGCCAGCAAGCTCTCGGTGCAACGTCTAATGCTCATGCCGCCAACACACATCCCTTTCCTTGCCTTTTTCCCTTGGCGTTTTCCTTCTGACTTCGCTGAACGTGATTCGAGGTGGTTGAAAAATGGAGCCATTTTGGAAGGAGGGGAGAATGCATGGGGGGAAACCAACCTTTTTTTCACTGTAGTTTGAGAAGCATTGCAGCAGCTCTACATTTGGTCAAACTGTGGAATTTAATTTTTCTCCCAAAGAACTTTGAATCTTCTCTCTCCCCTCCCCCATACACACACGCACACACTTGTGGGCATATGTAAAGCTGATGTTTTGACAAATGTAGTCAAAATTTGGACAGTATTTTAATCAGCTCGAAAAGCTAGGTAGTCTGCGGCCCACGGAAAGGAATAAACCAGGGATTGAAACCATTCTGTTGGTACAAGCATTCTGCTTGTTTTGCTGCACGAACTGTAATTGAGCCACAGCCACTAATATCCTTAAAACTACCTTTACAAAAATGTCGTTGAAAAATAACAACCTGAAGGTTATCACGTACTAAACCTGCTGAGATAGATGTGTAGTGTGATACAAAGAATGGAACAAATATGGCTGTATTAATTACTTGCAATAAAACAATGGAAAAGATACAAGCCACGTTCACAATTTAGGGTAGCTTCACTTAACACAGTTGACACTAGCTGAGACCTTGGCCAGTGCCCTTGCCCTTAGCCACTCTGTTTTTCTTTAACTCACAGTAGTTTTCACAGTTCTCTCATCCTAAATAAAATGTAAAAAACTGGATAACTGCATAGTCTTCATTCACCCACGGAGCTGCCTCCAAATTATTTGCAGGTTCAAGAAGGCCTAAAGTTATTTTTGCAAACGATAAGTAATACAACCTACATTAAGCTTCCTGTATCAAAGCTGACTGATACTCTTTAAACTAATCATTTTTAAAGACACTTATGGCCACAGTCAGCAACACATTTTAGAATGACCACAGTTGGCCCTGATAATATTTGTGATTTCTGAATCCTGGTAATGTAGAAACATGTCATTTAATAGATTTAAATCTTTCAGGGAAGCCTTAAAGGTTTAATTAGCTCTCTGTGGTTTTGTCCCCTCTCTCTTTCCCCTCACCCCAAGAGATTTATAGGACTTGTTCATGGGCATAATTAGCATTATTCTGTTTTATTGAGTTACATGCTTACATACATACAGGAAGATCTTTTTAACCCAAAGGAACTGAAGACCATGATAGAAACAAATGGTGCCTGCAGGATATAGTTAGTCGGGGCACTAATTAAAATGCTCAAAAGGCAGAGAACACAAACACCTACAAACCAAAGCTCACAATTGCCGTGTGGTTTTCAGTTGGTTCTTTGAAGACACAAAAACATTGTTTGAATAGGATTTGTTGTGCTGAGGATCTGATGTTTTTTCTTCTCTCCCAGGAGCCCCCGAGGCGCCAACCAACGTCTGTCTCGTGGTAACAAGCAGTACATCACTCACTGTCACCTTCCAAGAACCTCTTAGCGTCAACTCAGCTGTAGTGACCAAATATAAAGGTACTGGATTTGGATGCATTTCCTTTTCCTTTCTTAACAATGCACAGGCCCTTTAGCGCTCATGTTTACCTTCAGGGGCTGTTTTTCTAAGCCATTCTCAGATCTTTCCAAGTCATGTTTGGATGGAAATATTTCCTTAGTTAACTTTGCGCCACTGAGATATCTGGATGGAGTTCTGGATTACAAATGCACGCGGGCGCACCGTTTACCCAAGCCATTACCCAAGGATCTCTTGAAGCAGTTTGCTTGAATCATTGTGGTTAAGACATCAGCTCAGTAAGATGAGCCTGCTAGAAAACATGAGCTAAGCTTCAGTGTCTGTGTGCTCCTTAAAACATGTGTAGGCCTGCGTATGCCAAACCCACACCTCCATTCCTTAAAGAAATGCCTCTGGAAGCTGATACTGCTGGCAGCAGCAGCATCACAGCCCCGCCAATTTAGCTGTTCCAGTGTTGCCACATCATTCCTGGAAGAGCAGTACATTTTGGGTGGCACCCGTTTGTCCTGAAGTGGAATGAATAGGAAAATACTTCCATCTGAATAGCCCCGACGAGTAGAGCCAATTGACATGAGGACTTTCTATTCCTCAGGAGCTTGAAACGTTTTCTTTACAAAAGTGTCATTCCAAATCAGAACAAAAACTAGAGTTTCGGGGATTTCCTCTGGAAAGGGCCTTCTGCTTTTCCAGAATGAAAAGTCTTTGGCATGTACCCGTTCTGTTTTCCCCAAACTAAATGGAGCAGTCCTCTGCTTCTAGCTCTTGGAAGGGGGGGTCCCCACCACGCCTCTCTGCCCCCGGGATATCTGGCCCGAGCCTGAGAGGCCCCCTCTTGCAGGTAATCTTAGGGCTTCCAGGCCGCTATCACAGAGCTGGATAGAAGGGGTATCTGCAACTTGTCCTTGCTGGGTCTCTCTCACTATCCTCTTTTGGAGCACTTTTATTGGAGAAGAGACTTGAAGGTGGGTCTCATCCTACACATGAGCCATAAGTCCCAGAATATAGACTTAGCCTGCCTTGTTCTCTTTCTTTTGGACTCAGTGAAGATTTAATGTTATGTAACAGATCTGCTCTAACAGAAGATGTTGAAAGAGCCCCAGCCCAGGATAGCCAAAGGCTATGGGAAAGCCAGGCTCGCCCCTGATGTGAATTAGGCAAAGGAGGGACTTGAGTCTGGCAAAGCAGTTCTCTGAGCACCAGGTTTTTTGGGATGGGGGTTTCATTAAGGGGGAAGCTGCTCCAATTCAGGGTCCACTTACTACAAGACAGAAGCAGATAGGACAGAATGGCTGATACATGGTAAATTAATTTTTCTCCCTTTTAGCTCCATATAATTTGTTCATCTGTCCCTATCCTCTGTCCTCTTCAGTAAGTGCGGAAGCAAAAAAATGTTATCCAACTTGACAAAGCTTTTGTAAATTGTACTAACTAGCTCTCTCATGCATTTGTTTGAGTTCTCCACACTGCCAGTTGTTTTCTGTCTGGTTAGGATAACAATTAAGTGTACCAAAATATTCTTTTAAAGTCCTTTTACCCTGGAGGCCAGAATAGGGCTGGATGGAAAAAAAAAAAAGAGCAAAAAACCCCCCAAAAACTTTAATGAGTCTTGAGTAACTGGTGGGGATCAATTAAGCCCTGCATGTAAAATTGCTTATTACATTTTGGAGTGAGATCCTTTTTCATTTGAAGGGCCATGAAATAAACCTTTCAAATGATCTCTCATAAGAATTAGTAGAACCAGGTAAGAGCCGCTTCTCCCATAAACAAAATTTGATAATTTTGACCAAGGATCTTTTAGCCAAAAGCATAATTAAGCACATGTTTATGTGTTTTGTGAATTGAGGATCATACCTTTTCCTACTAGGTTAATACTTAATTTAACAGAAAAAAGGCACCAGAAGAATTAGTAATATATTGTCATTGGTCAAGCCTCCCTTCTTATGCTCATAATGTTATTTTCTAAGGATCTTCATTGCATGAGACACATGCTGGCAATTCCTTTTAATATACAGTATTATCTGTTTCTAAAAATGGTTGGTATGTGGCTTGATTCTGCATTGTGGAAGACTGCTTTCCAAATCCCTATCTGTTCAATGTTGTTTCGAGACTTGTAGCAGAACATTGTCTAAATCTGCTGGCTGTTTTTCTCCATGCAAGGTTTCCCTTGTTACCTCATTTACAAATATTAATATAGGAGAATGATACTTTGCCCTCACACTACAACCGCTGAAACCAGCTTGCTTCATTAAGAGATTTAATTTAATCACACTAGATAGCTAGGTGTTGACTTTTGTGTCCCAGCTGGATTCCAGCTGAGTGATCGCATTCTGTCGAGCTATTTCTTCAAGGGGTAAAGCTGTTTCCTTAAGGAGCTGGGGTATTCTTTACTTCTACGCTGAACTGTTATTTAAAGTTGCTGGCGCGATCCTCTTAATTTCTCTCCAGAGAAAGGTGCATTATGGCGATGGCTGAAAAGTGAAGTGTTGCCCTTGTATATTGTAATTTGGTAAAATGTGTTGAGGCTTGAATCAATGATGATAGTAGTAATCTTCTCCAAGCTGGAGGGGAAAATTCAAAAGCAGGTCCATCACAAAGGTCTAGGAAGCTCACCAAGCATGGTAATACTTCATTAAATATTATCTATTTGGCTAATCATGCTCTAAGGGCAAACTTTGCACCTGTTTCTGCAAACACTTTGGATTTGGCTATACTGCTTGTTCTCACACCGGTGAAAACCTGGGATAAATGTGCTTCACTGATACAGAAAGTGACTTCCTGCAAACTCAAGCTGAGACGAGTCTTACTAGGGTGTGTTACTTTTACACCGGTGCCTTCTTCTATGCTACATGTTTGCCCAGCAGAGCTACCGCAGTGTGACTACTTGGATGCAAAAAACCCTCCAGTTTAGGCAAGATCCTGATGTGATCCTAATGAAGTCTGATGGTATGTGTTCACAGGCCCAGAATCTTTCAGAGCCACCGCTTTAACCAGTTACCCTTGCAATGAGTGTCACATGCATCTCACACACACACATGCACACACAACCACAAATCAGTTTAATTAAATGAAAAGCCCTTTTCATCATCATGGACAAAAGATGATTTTTTTTTGTAAATATTGCTGAGAAATTCAACAATGGCAATAGAGCATTGCAAACCTGGAAAAAAAAATGAAGCTCCCCTCTCCCTGCCTTAAATTTGATTTGTTTTTGCTTTGCCCCTTCACAGGTCCAGGTTCAGATGCGCATTACTTCTTCTTGAGCGGTGTCACAATACAGTGTACACTCCTATCAGAAGTCATTATCATTGTGTTGGGAGGTTTAAGGATTCAGATAAGACAGAAGAATAGAGGTAGAGCTAAGAATAGGCACTAATGAAAACTTAATATGAAATATGGAGAGGCTCGATGTATACTTCATTTCCTTTATCAGTTTTTCCCAAACAAAGACATATTCTACAAATCCATCTCTTGGTGAGAAATGGAGAAACAACTACGGTGTCCAAAGCTGACTAATTAGATTGATTGAAGGTATGTTAGTAAATAGAGAGAAATTCTGAGCTTCCTTTGACTAGGCAAATTGAGCCACTCTACCCTCTCAGGAGACAGCAGTCCCAGGGCCCACGTGCCAAGATACAAAAAATGCGTTTCCAGTAGGAGGATTGCCTCTAATAGAGCTTCCCGCAGTTCACCTGGGGGGTTTGAAGTCACTTCCCAGCCTGGCATTGAGTTGGGCTGATGATGAGAAACTGTCTGGGCTACTTTATCCCCATGCATTGCCCTTCTTTTGGTTTGTTTCTTGGCAAACCATTTTACACATTTCTGTTTGTCCATGTGGCCTGACAGCCGCCTAGGGCTCCCGCCTGATGGAAAAAACATTCTTATTTCATGTCAGTGTTGTAGCTCTTTTGAAAACGTCAGCCAGTCATGTTAGATCAGGAAAAGACAGTTATTTCTCGCATAGCTTTTGCCAAAAAACCTTACTCCCTGCCTCCCTTCCTCCAGGGCAATTTGTGGTTCTCCTCAACATGGTTTGCATTAGTATCGTGCAAGTCCCAAGTAAGAGGCCAAAATTCATTCCCACCAGACAGCTGGTTTGGTGGTACGTGAAATGAGTTTGTATTGGGTGTAGCCCATTTCTCTGAGAAATAAGCACCCACGTAACCCCAGCACTGGCACTGGAAGTCTTGGAAGAAGGAGTGAATGGGCCTTGGAGAGTGAAATGCCATCTTGCACCAACAAGAGGAACCTTTTAAGGTCAGAATCTGGGATCTCCAGAATATTACTCCAGTGAGCCTATTTTATAGATATTCTGTAACTCCATCAAACTTCAGTGTAACTGGCTCGCAATCATTTGCCTTTCACCAAGGCTAGGGAGAGAAGTTACACAAGGTTGTTGAAGTGATCACAAACTGGTTTAAACCTGTAGCAGAACACAAGTTCAGTGCACATAGACCAGTTTCAGACTGGCTGAAACTGGTTTAAGACAAACCTGGGTGAATGTAGTATCAGACTTAACTGATTTGTTTCAAACTAGTTTCTGAAACTTCTGTCCCAGACCCCTTCCTGGTTCAAGTTAAACGAGAGCCCCCCAGTATCCCAGACGGTTTGCAGCCCTGGGCTGTGCTGTCTGCTCCAGAGAGCAGAGCTGGCCCTACCCCTCTGCTCCCATGCTGGAGCAGTGAGGGCTGGCTGACAAAGGGCGGGGGAGCCAAGCCCAGCGGGAAATGCAGTGAGGTCTGGGGGCAGGGGGAATCTGCCGCCCCTCCAGGCAAACCCTAGCTGGGGGCTGGGGCGTTTGGGGCTGGGGCCAGGTAGGGGGGTAAACACCCCTTCACCTGCTCAAACTTACTGCTGGCTGTGACTGTGGACTATAAATCCCAGAGGCACCTGGAAGCAGGAAGAAGTGATGAGCAACCCTGCAGAGTCCTGGGGTTGTAAGTCTGGACTGCACATCTCAGAGACCTCAGGGGCAGCAAACACACAGGCAGAGAGCCGTGCTTTA